TAAATACTTTTCCGTACAATATCTTAAAAAAAATTATTTACTTTTGAAATGCGACTATTATGTCTTCCAAAATTTTATTAGATTTACGAATTTCTAATAATTTCTTTACAAGACGGGAGCAATTTAAAATTCTGCAGTTGCGAGAAAGAAGATATGTATATAGACATTTCATACGCAATATATATCTAATTTAATCGCTAATCGAAAATTCCACAATCATCGCGACACAATAGTCGGAGAAATGCTGTAATAAACCCGATTCTGCTTCCGGCGAGAAAGGGTGACTGCTCGAACGGAACCACTATGTCTCATCGCATCTCTTTGTTCCGCGTCTTCCCCGATTCTGAATACTTTTTCTCCCTAGATATCGGGCTTGACTTTGGTGTTTGAGTCAGGGCTCTTCTTCTCGCGGATCTACATTCCTCGTTAACACGGCCGTCTCTTATTCTCTCTCTCTCTTTCTCCTTCTTCGTCTTCCTCTCTTTCTTTTCCCCTCTCTCGCATTGTCTTTCTCTCCTCTATTCTCCCATTCCTCTTCCCCGGGCTTCTCTCGTGCTGGCATCCCGCGGCACTCAACAGGGGCCGGTCGTTTATCTAAATGGCTACTGGGTGGCCCGGCCGACCGTGTCCCGTCCCAACAAACCAAAACTAACCCAATCACACGCCTCCCGGGCTCTGGCGCGCCGAAGAAACGACCCTGAGGAGAGCTGATATCCTAAGCTCGGTGATTGTCGTGCCAGCAAAACTACGCCATGATTTCTCGGTACTACGGCCAGGCCTGCCCGCCTGGCTGTCCGCCTGTCTCCGCCTGCCCGGGGTCGTCGTATCGCCATTGTCGTTATCATCGTCGCTTGCCGGGTGTAATGGAGGTAATCCGACCTCGTTGAGAGAATATTTAACGGTCGGTCCCCCTGCCCGCGCGCGAACGCACACGAACGATGCCGTGCTACTTTCCCGCTGCTTCCTAGTATCGTTGTTATGCAACGTTACGACGCCACTTCGGTACTGTTTCAATAGCCGGGGCTAGCGGAGCGCGGTCGTTCTCATCTCATTGATACGCGCTCGCCGAGCGGGACCGCGAGCTCGCGTGGATTGTGTTTTACAACCGCCGGCGACGACGGCGGTTACACGCGACTTCGCGCATCCCGTGAAATTGTCGTTTAAGCTGCAGTCGTACCGGAAACACCTCTAAACTGGACATATCGTCAAAAGAAACGATAACATATTGTCGTGAAAATCCATTTTTAGATCTCCCGTGATCGTGCAATAAAGGCAATGCAAGACTGCATCAATAAATATATGTAATTACAAGTCGCATTAAAAAAATGGTTCTAGAAACATCTTAACTAGATTATACGGTACTGGATGTCAATTAATGTTGAATATCTACTATATTTTAAACATCGTAATTACGGCTCGCGAACGGCGCATTAGTTGGCGGTGAAAACTCGCGCGCATCGGCTGGCGGGACGCCCAGCCGTTTAGATAGCTCGCCGATATCTCGCGAGAGCGGAAACATTCGAAAGTGCTCGCCGGTGACGATTACCGTTCCGAGCTCTCCTCCCTCGGCGCTTCTTTTCTTCTCATCACGCGAGCGTCCCGCTCGTTATCTACGCCGGAAGAGGAAGCGATTCGCGCGGATCACCCGGTACGTGACTTTTCCTCCCCCGCCTGCGCGCGCGATTCGCGGCGTCCTGACGCCGAGCGGCGCGACGCGATTCCCTCGTGAATTTTTTTAATCCGCTTCGCCGGTCGCCGTGTCGCGCTGTTTTCTCCCCTCGGCATTGCGCTGCGGCGGCAGCGACAGCGGCGGCGGCGGCAACGTTCGGGTTCGTTTAAAATGCAAACTCGTTCGCGGTCCGCGGGGGCTTTAAAAACAGCCGCTATACCTATCCGGATTTTCGTTTACCGTGCACCGCCGCAAACTTGGCCCCGCCGAGGTCTTACCGCGCCTCATATAGGGATTTATGGCGGCGCTGACGCGTTTCTATTCTGGACCGTCTCGTCGCGGAACATCCTCCCTCCCGACGCGTTCTTTCTTCATCGTATCGCTTGTACTTAGCACATACGCCTTCGCGATTTTCTTCCCGGCGAATCGCTCGATTAACAAGTGCAACTGTATGCAATTAATCGAAATTATTTCATTGTTGTTCGATTGGAACATTTTAAAAATCTTGGGCACGTGTATCTTGACCCATTTTTCGCTGTAGCTGATTAAATTTGAAAAAATTTTTTAGTCACATCGCAGATTGTAACAAATATTAGATATTTTAAGATTAAATCTGCGAATATAACTTTCACGTCATTTTTAATAATCTTGTTATTATAAAATGGAGAAGAGTTATTATCTCTGAAATTCTCTGATTATTAACAAATAATTTATGCAAAGATTTTTCTACCGTTGTCTTTTTTCGTGCGAGCGCAGAATAAATTTGCTTTAGACATTTTACATCTTGCAAGATGTCACGCGGTTTTTCTTCTGAAATTCTCGTTTACCAGACAAAAGAGGTCGTACCGCTTCCCTCAAAGTTCATTTTTCTTAAAGAACGAACGATTTTTCCAGATCTTGGATCTATATGCGTGTCGCGTTTTTTTTTCTACCCGTTATTCTTTTTCAGACGATTACGCCTTCAGGAAGATTTTAGCCCGTATCGCAGTTGCTTGATTAGCACTTCACGATCCGGAACGCGATTTTCGCATCGCACAAAAAGACTCGGAATCGAATGGTCACACTTAGCGTTGAGCGTAGTTAGAGGTGAATGCGGGTCTTTCCTCGCGCGCCTTTTTTTGTCTCAAAAGAGACGCTGGCGAAAGTGAGATCGGAGCTCTCGGCTTTCCTGGTAATTTGACAGAGCGATAAAGCCAGTTCTACCGGGAGTCCTTTGACCGGGAGAGGATGTTGATTCAACACGGTCACTGATGCACTAGATGATCGGTCTAATCATTGACGCAGATGTACGTTGTGAGTAAAGGTGAGGGCGAGATGCGCTTAATTAGCTTGGCCGTGTAACGCGGCGCGACACTGAGGGCAGCTCGGATATAAAGGGCTAAATTTATCCCCGATAGTTCTTTGAGCCCCTTTGGTTGGGCACTTATCGTATGCGTGCACGCACTTCCGCGTTATAATCCTCTGACGCGATACTCGGTGTCTACCGCATTTAAAAGTTCTATATATAATAATAATATAAAAGTAGCATCTAAAAGCTTACGATAAGATAATTATCAGCATCGCAGGGGATTCTTTTGTATTCCAAAGGTGGCTTAATATTTAGATGACTTAATAATTTCAAGACAGAGCATTTCACAACGATGCAGACATCGATACTCTAAATAACAGAGTGAAGATACGATTTCGAACAAATATGCAGTCAATTTAAAAGCTATATGTTTTATAGAACCATATTTCGTGTTTATATTCGACTCGCTTTGCACACCGCCGTGACCATTTCCATGACCATTTTGCATGATCATTTTGAGAATTATCGCTTCACGCATATTTGTTAATAAAACGGTTTCCTGGTTTCACTCTCTGACTAAAGAACTTTTTTTTTTGAATAAATGTTCGCAATTGTGTTTGTATAGGTACTCGAGGTAACATCAATACCGATTGGTTTTCTGTTAGTCTATTTTCATTCTGTACCTTTATATATCGAGGCATAGAGATTTGTGGCAAATAAAGCTCTTCCGCGAAAATTATTTAAAATTTTGCATTAGGTCCGTTAATGCGGTGTTTCGAAGTGGACAATTTGAGAGTGACAATTAATAATTCGAGCGAGCCAGCGAGGCGCGAGATTTTTTTCCTCGAAGAACAGTGCCGGTTTGCGAATACGATCGGATAGGCGGTCGCTATTGTTATCCCGCTTGACCACAGCCACTTAAGCCCGTGCGCTAAACTCCACGAGTTCAACTTTACCCTTCAACAGGTGTTTAGGGAAATACAATAATGTCGCGCATGCGCGTCGAACTTCTTGAGGTCGCAAAGTTCGCTGGAACAATCTGACCGCGACCATGCCCGCGGGCGATGCCGGTACTTAGGACGAGATTAATTAAGATTACGCAGGACGCGCCGCGGTTCTCAACCCATGGCCCGGACGGGGACAAGTAAATTTCGCGCGGTTGATGAGGAATTCCGTTAATGCATGCGAGATGGGAAACGGCGAGGCTTGATTAGGATGCATTGTGAGATAAAATCTCCAGGAAATCTCCGTGTCTTAATCAGTCTGAGCGAACTCCTAATTCTCGAGGCATCTCATTTTTTTATAAATATGTATTATTAAATAGCTTTTCATAATATTATGGTTTATCGACTCTATGACGGAATAAGAACGAAATTCTCGAGAAAAATTTTTCTTTGCAATCACAATTGACTAAAATGAAATCCATTTTTTCGCGACATAGATAATGCAGGAAAACATAGATAGCAGATCACATTTGTTTAATACAATGTATTTAATCTTTTTTGCATTTTTACTAAAATTTCAGAGTTAAAATCGCAAAAATTGCGATTATAATTAGTAATCAGCTGTCTTTTAATTTTGGCATAACGAGTGAAGTCTGCTTTACCGATAACAGATAACACTATCTTATATAACTGGTTTGCCAGTAGTCGATAAAGTAGACTGTCGAGATCAACGTCGGTAACTACTCGTGAACTAAACATGCTTGCCGATTGGGAAAGCTGAGGGGAAGTCCCAAATTATCTTCTAGATGATAGGTGGCGTTTGAATATAGTACAGTTCTTGAAAAGCTTTTAAAATACATATACACTTTTGTGTAAAAATTTATTATATGTTAAAATTATTGTTTAAATAGTGTTCGCGTTTTTTAAAACTGCAAGATAACAAAGACGACGCAAAACATAAAATTATGTCCTGTCATAATTATAGGTACTAGTAATAGAATAACATTTTATTGCACATTATAAATTTATTATTATACTCGCACATAACATAAGTTATAAACATGCTTTTTACCATTTCTTTTATTTATTCTGTTTATAGGCATTAAATGGTGCCGAAGGTACGGTCCCACCTGGACGAGTGTACAAGAAAGTCGCGATTGTGGAGAATTTCTTCGACATCATCCACGCCGTTCATGTTGATCTCGAAGGACGTCCTGGGAAGCATGCTGGTCAGAAGCGTACCTACAGAACGGTAAGTTGTAGCTATAATTTTAAGTTATAATTTTAAAAATTATATTTAGTTTCGTAAATATTTCATTGAAATATTTTATTTTAACATAAAAGAGAATCGTATACTTTTTGTTTAATCAGTTTAGAAATTTTAAACGCCGTATATACGCAAGTTAAAAAAAAAGTATAATCCTATAATCAAAGATGCAAGTTAACGTTTTCAATTATTGAAGTACATCCGCTTATTTTGGCGCGTAAACAGTGTCTCGCATCATCCGACTCTTTGGTACAATGCACGGCGGCACTAACCATCGAGTATCCGTCGATCCGTCGAAGCGATCGAATTCCGAATTCGGGCGCTATCGGCAAAACGCGGTGAATTCCTGCATGGTTGCCCGCGACACGCGATATTTACCGTTCCCGAAGGAAGGCATCGAGGCGTTCAAGCGTCGAACACTCGATACCACACGTCATCTCACATGTTCCGGCGCGCATTCGCGTAAACCTCTCTCCTGGGTATCATATCTGTTCTCTCACTCTCTCTCCCTTCTCTCTCTCTCTTTCCATCTCGCACCCTCAGCACGCGGTCTCTTTCTACCCTTCATCGTCGGCCCCTGCGACCACCCTCCCACTCTTCGGCCTCCCATCCTCTCTCTTCTCTCTCTCTCTCTCCCTCTCTCTCGCACGCCGCGATCTGCTTGTGATTCAAAACCTCAGGACACTTGTTGCATTGCCTGCTTACTCACACACTCGAGCGTTTGCGCGACGGTGGAACTGTTTTACGTTCAAGTCGGCGTTAGGCGGCGGGATTCATCGGCTCCAGAGAGGAGAGCCCGCGTTATGTCACGATGCCGCGTTGCGCAACGCGATACCACCCACGCCGGTGTAGAGGACGGTGGATTTCGAGTTGACGCCGTTACATCGCAAGGGTCGCACAAAATTGACCGATCCAGTGTGCACGTAATTCACCTTTGACGACTCACGCCTTTAACGCACGTCCGATCGATACGTTATAAGTTACAGCTCATAACGCGCACAATTTACTGTTCGAAGTTAATCGGAAACTGTCCTTGTAATCGAGCGAGAATAACGATCGCGAAACTTCCGCTGAAGAATTCCACTGAAAATCGTGCAGTTGCAACTGTATTCGGGAATCATTCCTATTGATTTATATTTATCGTGAAATTTCTTAAATTTCAATTTAGAGGCGAAATAAAAGAGAAAATATGAAAGATTTCTTTATCTTGTCAATGATAAGCTAAATATAGACTGTTTTTTTAATTTACTATAAAATAAAAATCTATTTCATACTTAATATATCACTCAACACAAAGTTGGACATTTATGTGTGTCAGATGAGCAACCGTCATTCCTTCGGCAATGGCATACGATAATATTATCATCGAGAAATATTCTAGTTATCCAATAATTTACAATCACTCTAATGCAATCCGCTGTCCTTTCACAAATCGGAACCGAAATATTGGACGGATTGCCGACTAACAAATCGATTTAAAGTATAATACATTGTCTCGGGTTTTCACCTGAGAAAAATATATCTTTTTTTTTCGTTCCTCGTTCCCTCCAAGTTTATTGAGGTTTCGTGAGGTTTCGGATAAGTCTTCTCACACTACCCTTTCTCCCGCGGAACTGGTGCAGTTACACGCACACGTACACATCAGTCTCAGCCTCTCTTATGGAGAGAGCTGCCATCCTCCTTGATTAAGTTATGCCGCCCCCTACCCTTCCGCTTCCTTAGAGAGAAACGTTTCCTATTAAGGGGCGGGGAACATCCCTCCGGCTGAACACCTTCCTCTCGCAGAAGACATCAAAGTTCCGTTATACTGCTCATGAATTTTCCCCAGTGGGCGTCGCGCGCGTAAAACGACGCCACGTGACAGCGATACGTTCGCTCGGAGAGAGCGGGAAGGGCCATTCGCGCACGCATTAACGTGTCGATTGACAATGGTAGTTGCGTATTATTATTGCACGAACGTACACTTGGGTATGGCGCCTCGGCCGGGTGGAATTGGTTAATTGCCCGACCGAATGGTGTTTCTGCCTGAATATACGTTCGATACGGTGAACGAAGATCTGATCAAGGTTTATTTCGATGGATCTTCATCAATATCGCATTCTTAGCATGAAACTTAATTTAATATTAACACCTTCTTCCAGCTGTATTATCACAATACAATTATCCTAAAATACGTCGCATGAAAACATTTTCTTGCAGGAGAGAAGTTTTGCTGACTTCTTAATCTATGAAAATTATATTAATATTAATATTATAGTAATACTATCATATTTTTATCTCATTCCAGAAATAATTCATAATAAATCATAAATTAAAATTTTTTAATAACAAAGTTAAAATAAAAACAGTGTAATACGTAGTTTTAAAATTGTATTAAACGGTAAAAGGCTGGAGCAAATAGAGATTTTTAGAAATATATTTCAAATCGAAATTTGAGGCGTTCTAAAGAGAGCGGGCCTCTCTTTCTGTTACAGATTACTGAAACGTACGCGTTCCTGCCGCGAGAAGCGGTAACGCGATTTCTACTAGGTTGCACGGAATGCCAACGGCGTCCGCGGACGCCCAGTCCAACGAACTTATCTAATCAATCGCAGTCTACGCAGCCGGCGACGCTGGGGTCGACGTCAACCCCGCTGAGCCCGAATCCCGGTAGCGCCGCTCTTGCGGCATCGTCGTCGACGACCACGTCAGTGCAAAATAGCCCTAAGCCGCGTAACGGCGGCCAACACGCGTCGTCGGAGGGTAAGAACTTGCACAACTACAGGCACCAGAAGCAGCACAAGACCGGCGCTGCTAGCGCCGCTGCGGACTCGAAACTCGACAAGGACAAAGACGAGAAGTACAATCCGCTGAGTATCACGAACCTATTGAAGAAGGAGCCGGTGAATGGTGGTTATCTCGCGGACGCTCTGCCGGAATCGAGGAGAACGCCAGAGTCGGACCGGGCGAGCTCGAAAAGCTCGGCGTCGTCAAAGAGAAAACGGATGCTGCCGGAGGGACGGACGCCCTCGCCGCAGCCCAGCCAGCCGTTGCCGAGGCCCTGGAGCCCCGGGCTGGACCCTAAGAACACGCCCATCGACTATAGCTTGCCTATCACCACCTCGTACTTGAAGCATCAGCAGAGACTGCTCCAGGAGAAGAACAAGGCGGCCGCCGCTAATGCGCTGAGGGAGTCCGAAGCGACGGAATCGAAGGCCGTCTCGACCGCCGCGACGTCGCTCGTCGAGGAGACCGAGAGCGCCGAGAGGGAGAGGTTCTCACCGGCCACCGGCCTGATCGACACGAACCTCAATCTACTGGCGACCATCCAGCAGCTACACTGTCAAGTGATGCTGGCGCTCACCGAACGATTGAGACCGTCGTTCACGATGCCGAGTCCTTTAATTCCACCGCCATCGACCAACGTTCTGGCGGGTACGATGATGATGGGCACGGAAGTGTCGGTCCAGACAGGAGAGAATCATTTGTGAATTAATCGATAGAGAAGAATGGGTCGCTTTTCCACCAGTGACTTTCCTCGGAGATGCGTAAAAGGTAAAAGTGCTATGATTATCAAGAAGCGACAGATTAGCATTTCCGTGAGTAGAATTAATTCGCGTCGATAATACTGCCTGAAAGTCTCGTATATATTGAGATTACAATTCGTTCTAGACAATTCGTTCGCGATAAAAAGATTAAGTCGTCAGACGAAACGGAAGTCTGCATTTACCGAAAAGACACATGTTAAAAATTCGGCCGCCCGATTTGCGACCTTCTGTCGCAGTCACGCGGCTACACGAGGCTTCGCGCGATACAAAATGTCGATCGCGGTCGTTCTTCATCTTTAATTCGTTCCTAAATACGTATCCGTTTGACGCGCGGCGGGGCTGCGAATGTACTAGCGACGGCTCCACTCACCGTCGTTTCCCCCTTCCCCCCAGTCTTTGGTCGAGAAGCGAAACGACAGATAAACGCAATTACATATTGAACCGGACGGGATCGATTATTGTCGTCGTGCACATGTCACACATTTCATCCGATCGGGCCGACCGGCGGCCTGACGCTTGCTTGCGCCCGACGTCGGTCGGCGCCCGATATAGACGGCGGGCCAAGCGAGCGGAATAATTCCCCAAGTCTGTCGAAATACGGGTCGATGTGTCAGGGATTTCGCGCGCGGCGCTTTCTATGTCCGATATTTAGAGATCCGTTACGCGGAGAGCGGATCGCGATCCGGCCGCCGCCGCCGCCGCCGCCGCCGCCGCCGTCGTCGCCGCCGTCCGGACTCGGTTCCGAATCGATCCATCCAGGCGGGGCAAAAGCGACAGTCCGCACGGCGACACCGCGAAGGTCCTGAATATTCAACGAGCCGGCGAGCGAGAGACGGGGAGAGAGAGATAGAGTGAGAGTCCGAGGGGAGAGGAGAGAGACGGAGAAGGAGATCCGATTTCCCGTTTTCGGGTGTCATTCGATGAATCCGACAACATTCGGCGTCGTTGTCGACCTGACGAATCGTCTTTCATCTTTCAAGGCGCGCGGCCGATTTGCCCCGATTAATTATAACGCGCTCTGAAATTGGCCGACTGGTGCTCCGGATGAATGATGAACTCTTTGAATTTTACGGCTCGTTTTTCCTGTAGCGGGAATATCTCCGGCGGTAATAATTTCGGTGTTATAAATCATAAAAACGGATTGCGCGAATTAAGCTTCGGAGCGGTAAATATGTAATGTAACATTACCTGTCGATACTGTTCAATCTTTCAGACGACGAACTTACTTTTAACAGAATTTTATTTATGGCTCGCGTCTGAGGGAAAAAGGAAAAATTTTTCCGCGGGGAACATGCCTGTTCCGAGGGATTAAGAAACTCGTTTCGTCTTCTTGTAACGATCTTCTTTTCTTTAAACGATGTAAAATTCCCTCGCAATCTCGCACGGTCTGAATTAATGTCGATTAATGCGCGATCGGGTAACATCTCATTGACGAGGAAAAGGGCCGGTTGCATGTAGCCGGTATCTCGTTCTACCTTGTAATTGTAATAATGTTATCGCGTGTAATTACACACAATAGGAGGGTATCTGAGGTGAGTCTGAGCGCGCGACTCGTCTCGCCTCGCGTCTTGTCTGTGTTTCGTCGAACCGGTCGAGATCCGGTATTATACACGGGATCGCAAACTTCCCTTACGTTGTAGTAATTATCGTATTATTGCCACTCTATCAACGCAGCGGCTTTTTGACTGCGTCGCGACTGCTTAAATTGAACACGTTATTTCAGACGAAGAATCGAATGCATATTTTATATCAGTCTTGAATAAAAAATGCACGTTATCATTATATTAATTAATGTAACTTTCTCTTTTATTATTTTTATTTTTAAAAAATCTAATGTCCTTTCAGTTTTACTTCTAGAATAAAAATAATCAAATAATGTTTCGGGTTTATATCGCTCTTTTAAAATAAACATCATGAATATTAACTGAATGCAACTGAGATTTGCTCGAAAAAATATAAATAAACGCCTTTTGATCTCTCTTGTTTCGTGAAAATTACTTGCAAGTGACTGATTTAGACATGTCTTCGTGAAATAACTTGTTCACTTAGCGATCGCCGGATCCGATACCGACTATATATACCAAAGGCAGCATCACTTCGAGCTCTCCGCTTTGAGAGCGACTCTCGTCTTCGTAGAGCAAACCGCAGGTAAGACGAATCGGTTGCAGTTAGAAATCGATTGTTTCGCGCATCGAGACCACGACGACGGTCCTCGGGCGGCGAAACCCCCTCCCCGTTCGTGTCTGATTGTGTAGCCTAGCCCCCTCCCCCCTCGTGTATGATATTACTCGAAGTAGCTCGTCTTTCGTGTATGATATATAGCGTCGTTAACCGGTGAAAAAGTAAGCTACACCGGTAAAATAGGCCTTAAGGTGTGCTTGCAGAAAAAAAAGATGTTTGTACTAGAAGTTCGATAATTATCGTGAAAGTAGACGAGGGTTAAACCCTCGAGAGTGTCGTCGCATCGGACATATTATATTATACATATATATACATAATATATATATATGTATATATATATACACATATATTATTTTGTACATAATCGTTGTATTATAGTGCGTATAGTCTATATTAAGCAAGAGCGCGCGATTATATTATTACAGCAATCGTTCTTTTATCACGGTATTATGTATCGTTATTATCATTATTATCATTGTAATGATCATGGATGATTACTATTTTTACTACCACTGCTCTTATCGCTCTCTCTTATCATTATTTTATTATAATTATTATTAATTATTATCACATGAGTATTGTATTACTGTATGATTATATTTAAATTGTGCGCGCGGAACAGACGAGAAAATATATGAAATTGAAATACTCGAGAATATTGCATGATGATTTACACCGTATCCAAAAAAAGGTGTATTCTTTCCTGTCCTTCTCTGACGTGTATTTCAATTTTCAAATCCTTTCCCGTTTCCCTATTTTTTTCTACACCTTACAATTAATATTATCGTTCGAGATACCCTGTTCTAGGAAAGAAAACTGTAAGAATTGACGATTATTTATTTCCGACAGCATTACATCTTGCCGTAACGTGACAATAAGTTGCGTATAACCGTCGGATATTCCGGCTACAATGAATATATTATGTACAGGATGTATAAGAGGAAGAGGATTATGTGCAGGGTGCTCAACTACGTCTTGCTCTATTGCGACTTGTCGCGTTATACGGAACGTAAGTATCCCGCTTATTTATATGCAATCGGTATTTCGAAATGCCCGAAAAACTTTGATCGATCGATGGACACGATACAAGAGGAACGGTCGAGCTTGCACTCCACGCGCGCACAACGAACGCAATTGACACCTCACCTCCTCCTCCTACCCCTTCCTTTTCCACCTTCTGCCCTGGTAGTAGATAGAAGCAGTCGCTTCGGCGTCTGACGTACTTTAATATCGCGAACAAAGAGGACGAAATGATCGTGTTGCCTTTAACAAAGGAGAGGGAAGGCTGCGTCGACGACTCACCTGCTTCTCCCCCTCCCCTCTCCCCCTTCTCTCTCTCTCTCTCTCTCTCTCTCTCTCTCTCTCTCTCTCTCACCGTAGTGCGAGGATCGTTTCTCGGAGAGGAGGCACCATAGGTAATGCAGTCTTTACTCATCCGGCTGTTGCCAACGTTGTAGCGACCTCGTTCCATCAACTTCTACGCGTTCCCCCTAGCTAGCTATCTCCTTCGTTTCCTCTTTCCCTCCTCTCCTTTCGCTTTCTCCCTCTCGTTCGTTGTCTCTCTCTCTTTCCCTCTCAGCCCTCAGCCCTCAGGAAAACTCAACCCCCTACCCTCAGTTCCAATAAGGCTGCCGCCTCCACCTCGTTTCCACCTCCTGCTCTCCCTCTGCCACCCTGCTCTGCTTTTCACCCTCTGCTTCCCTCACGTGCTTGCCTCACCCCCCCTCCCTCCCTCGACTTTCTCTCTCTCTCCTCTCTCTCTCTCTCTCTATCTCCTTTCCTTCTGCGCACCCTCAAGCAACCCTCCGTCGTACCCTAAAGCCCCGCTTCCACGGAAGAGCCAAGCCTCTCTCGCGCTCTCTTCGCCACGGCATTGTTGCTATCGATTCGGACTTGGAAACGTGTTTTTCTTCGGATATTTCGTGGCCACCGCCGGTTACGACCGCTGCCGCTCGACCGGATAACGAGGATTCTAGGAAGGCGGGTGTATGTCCGACCCTCGGTTCACCCTTTTTCACGTCTCTTTCTACGTCTCTCCGAGTTTTCACATTACCACCTCCGCCGTTATATTTCCCGCGCTTAAATGCGGCGCGCCTTTTGCGCCCGCAATAAATATTTGATTTTACGTGCGAATTTCGTGCATTCGTTCCTCTCGTTCTCATCCGTACATTTTTGCTTCCCTAAAAGTCTGTTTAACTTCATCTTTACCACATTTGAGATGATTTTCGCCATATTTACGTAAAAATTAATTTCGTAATCGATGGTGCGTGATGTAGATTCAAGTCAATTCCATTTATTTAATAATAAAATCGATGCAAATAATTTTACTTGCACCTGCTTTCTAATCATTGCAAATAACTGTTTATTGAACATATAGCGTGATAACGAGCAAGTTAACGCGAGTCGTTTATTTGATCAAAGAATGTTTCAAATTTCGCTTTCGCTCTTTTTCCCTTGTTAAATCTACTTTTTGTGTCTTCAATTTTTCCATTATTAAAATTAGATATAAACATAGATACCTAAGGATCTCAAGATTTATATATATATATATATATATATATATATATATTATATATATACATATAAATGGTATATTATGAATATTTCGAATTTCGATCATTCTTTTTCGTCCCGCTGCAAATTGCTTTTATTATTTTATCGATTTTTGGTTATTTTGCTCCCAGCTCGTTCGCCTTTATATCAGAGCACTAGTCGTGATCTGACAATTCGATACCGATAAGTCGCCAGCGGAGTTTGACGCGATGAGAAACTCCCATTAGACTCGATGGCCGTAAGCTGCGTTCCCTCAGAGGTAGACTCGAACCACTTTCGTCGTCTTTGTTACGCCGAGATGTTCGCCGGCTTGGCTTCGATTGTTTCGCAAAGGCCATTGA